ACTTGAAATTTTTTTAATCGTTTTTTGTATAGAATCATCTCTAAAAATGTATGATTGAAATGTGTGAACTATTTGTTCGATCAATAAAAAACTTGCACCGGTCCTGTTCGCGCCAGCACCGTTATACGCATGAGCTCCGACACACTATTTTCTCCTTATGGTTTCATTTTTGATATATGGAATCGGCTTTCTATACTATTTCTATGGATAGAATTGAGGAACCATGAACTAACTGGACCGATAAGAATAACATTTTGAAATAAGTAATTCAAAGTGTTCAACCCGAGAAAATGTTATTCTCGGATTTAACTATAACAGCCGTTTGCAACGACTTTCTTAATTATTCCTTACAGTTAAAGATCGGGTTGTATAAAGTTTGCTTAAAGTTAAACTCGGTTTTAGGTGACACATGACAAATTTTGTAAGGCATAGGTACAGTCTACACATTATTTAGCACTTAGGGATTGTTTCCCCAAACATTAGACTGCACCTATAGATTCGGAAATTGACATGTATACCCTAAAACTGAGCTTAACTTTAAGTAAGCTTTATGAAATCAGCCCTAAGCGTATTGTTTTCTATACCATTTAATGTCTCCTTAACTTATGGGAAAATACAAAATCCATAACAAGTAACAAGTAGTATAAAAAATGGAACAAGGAAGTTAGTATTAAAATGTGAGCTTTTAAAAGTTTATTGGTCAGAAACAAAAATACAAAGTTCGTGTACCTAGGCCTAGGTATTTTTATAATTTAATCATACCATACAAATCGGGCATCATTAGTCTGGGGCGATTTAATCAACCACATATAAATTGCTGTATGCATCACTTCATATTATATTTCCTTAGTTTATAATGTTTATGTAACATAAATTATGTTTATATTAATATAAATATAAAATACGTCTTAAAAAAGGGTATCTACATCTACCTACCTCTTACTGTTATTATTTTGGGTTCAACAGTTTAAATACTTCACTGAGGCTCTTTCCACGGCACAGCGCTTTCGTTAAATGCATTCAAACAAATTAAAACTATAATGACCCGTTCGAACAGGAAATTTCTTGTTTTTATACCACGTGCATATCGTAAACACGTACCTATTTAAAAGTAATTGTATTTAGAAAATGTAATAATTTAAATAATATAATTATAAAGTACAATTCCTCCACAAATTTTGCTGCAATTACAATTCCAAGTTACTTTAAAAAAGTACTTAAATACAATTACACGAAGAAGAAAAAAGTAATTGTATTTTTTTTAATTTGGTGTCATCGGCGTCGACTACTATGGCCATTAGCCTCAGTAATTGTAATTATTAATTACTTTTTAACTAGGATTTGCCCAGCTCTGGTATGTTATGCCATCAATTGTAACGTTATAATTTGACGTTGGTGCCAATTTGTAACCTAATTAAATTAATAACTGAATTTATGTGAAATATAGTAACTTTAATTTCATCAGACCCTCAGACTAGCTCATGTCAGGATCATGGAGTTCGAGCTTAGAATTTTCTAACAAACCAATGGCATCATCTTGAATTAAAAAGACTAAAAAGTGTTCTAAAAAAGGTTAAGGACGCCATGTATTTAGATCGTTAATAAATACAAATTATGCCATTAATTTGCTTGTTGAAAGTAAGGAATAAATTTAAAGAGTGAAATTAAAATATAGTGACTTTAATTTGAATATGAAACACTTAACAATTTTTTTGAGTGAAAGAGTTATATCAAAACAATAAATGCTTATTTTAAATCTCAATAAATTAAGAGTTATATGAAGACAATAAATGGTTAATTTACATCTCAATAAATTAAAAGATAGTAGTAATTTTAAAATAATATACAGGGTGTTGCATTTGAAAAAATTGAGTAAATTAAACTTAAAATTTGCCATTTTTAAGACATGTTTCAAACCACTCTGTATAAAATAATCCAGTTCTATCACCACTATTCAATAGATTAGTGTATTACAAGTCTGTATGATAAATAATTTTGAAATAATGATAATTTAATTTGGAGACTGCATCATTTTATAAAATTAATTGCTTGGCAACCCTGTAATGTTTTTTAATAAAATTCTAGGGTTAAATACAGTATTACCAAATCATTCTAAAAATAAAATACAGGGTGTTCTATTTAAAAAATTACATTTTTATTTGCCAGGCAAAATGTAACACAATGTATATCCAAAAATAATTTTAAAATATATATATTTGTCAATTCCATATAACTTTTATTTGAAACTTGTTAGCGTATCTTTAACACAAATTGAAATATTGAACAATTACGCACTAATGGGACACCCTGTATATAATCTTAAATTAAAAACTAAACTGAAAGAGCTGTGTTGAAAACAAAACTCCAAACCATTTTTTAAATTGTTGAAACCAACTAGGTACTATTTTCTAATAAAATAATATTCTGTCACCGCTTGGAAAATGTCAGTCAATGCAATTTGTTTCATAGATTCATAAGTTTGGTTACAAAAAAACGAAGGCATTCATACAAAAATAAAAAAATAAAATACCTAGGTATAGTATCAAAAAATTCGTAAAAACAAACTCTTAATAATATAGCCCAAGAACTGTATAAGGTTTTTATGTTTTAATTTAATTTAAAAAAACTACTAAATTTACAAAATTTAAAGTATAATATGAAGAAGTAAGAGTAGTAAATATATTGACATCTGTACTATCATTACATTTTTATATTCAAATCAGGAGCTGCTTTTTAATTAAAATATGTTTTCGGATTTATTCAGAGTTTCTAAACTTATTTCAGCATTCTAGTAGGCATAGAATAGGTTTTAGTTAGTTACAAGAGATTATAAAACAAACAATATTGTTTTAGTTTCAAGATCATTTTACAATATTTTAGGTGTGTGTACCAAGTTTTTCACTAGAGGCATTTTTATACAAGGTGTCCCGAAATTAGACGGTCATATTTTAACAGCGTAATCTACATCTTAAAATAGGAGTAAAAGTTCATATAAACATAGGTCCGAAAACGTTTCGTTTTCGAGATACAGGGTGTTACAAGTGAAGTCCTGATGGCACATTTTTGTAAATATTTTCTAAAATTTCTTTAGTCACCGGTTTTCCAAAATTAAAAAAAAATTAAAATTCTCATTCCACAAGCCTACTAATTATTGTTTACACTTTCGAATAAGATAACATCAACTTATCATGAAATTTTCAAATGCTTTTCTTTTGAAAATGGTGCGTCCTAGCGAGATGCAACAAAAATAGCTTTATTATAAAGAAAACATTGGTTTTCCAAATTTTATCGTCAAAAATGTTAAAAACTTTCATCAAAAAAGACTTGGGCAATTTTACCCTAATCCCCCTCTAATTTGCCCACTTATGAAAATGATCAAAAACTAGGGTTTAGTCCACTAAATAGAGCCTAAAAAGGTAAGCATTTGTACCAAATTTCACTTAGTTATCTTTAAACGTTTAGAAAATATTTATAAAAGTGTGTCATCAGGACTTCACTTTTAACACCCTGTATCTCGGAAAAGAAACGTTTTCGGACCTACGTTTATATGAACTTTTACTCCTATTTTAGGATGTAGATTACGCTGTTAAAATATGACCGTCTAATTTCTGGACACCCTGTATTTAACAATTGTTGAAGTAGCTCTGTCACACCCTGTATTTTCAAAATGATCTAGTATTTAATACAACAGAAAAGTAATCAAGTCATGTTCTAACTATGGTAATACATGAAAATGCACCTCATTTCAGTAAAATATTCCTATTTTTTTCTTTTAATACACTCTGTATGATTAATTTTGCAAAGTGCAAGTGAGCATGAACTAACTATACAGGGTGTTTCTTAATAACATGCTAATATTTAAGGGGCTGATTCTTGGACCTATTTTAAGAAAAAACTTCATATGAATGTATGTCCTAACTTTTGAGATATAGGGTGTTAAAGTTTTAATAATATTGTCATTTTCATACCACTTTAAATATTTTTATGAAATTTTTTGTGCATTAAAGAGCATTTTTTGACCTGAAAATATTTTTTTCTTTCCAACAGTGGCGTCCGTACTGGACTCAGACTAGATATTTTTGAAAGAAAAAGAAGTACGACACTGCTTTCTCTTAAAATAAAAACTATTTTTGGAGTCTCCGATCAATTTAGAACAATTTTAATCTCTTAACTTTTATCGTATGACTCACCGTTTTCGCACAAAAAAATTAAATTCATACATTTGCATCTCATTGGACCAATTACGAGAAAAAACGATTAATGTAACTTTAAACAATAATTTATTTAAGAGGATTTAATTTTTTTTGTCGTATGAAAATAGTCAAGAAATTAAATTTGTTCTAAATTGAACGGGACAAGCAGTGGCGTACTACTTTTTCCTTAAAAAATGTCTAGTCTGAGTCCAGTACGGACGCCACTGTTGAAAATAAAAAAAGAAATGTTTTTTGGTCAAAAAAGGCTCTTTAATGGACAAACAAACAAACAAAGTGGTATGAATATGAAAATAAAAAAATTGATATTTTTCTTAAAAATTTAACACCTTGTATTTCAAAAGTTAAGGCGTTGATACATACATTCATATGAAGTTTTCTTCTTAAAATAAGTCCAAGAATCACGCCCCTAATAATTAACATGTTATTGAGAAACAAATAATTAATAAATAAGTATAATACATTACGAAAGTTTCATGAAAAAAACATAAATAACTTACGAGTGGTACAGATCTATATGAAAATATTCGTTATGAACTCCTTACTTTTGACTCCTTTTAACAGCTAATCCAGTAGAGCTGCAAACTAGAGGTCCATAAAAAAAGTTTCTTTTAATGACAAAAATGACTCAAAATCAATATAAAAAGTGTGGAGTCCTTTGTAATTCCGTTTTAAACTGTTATGGAAAAGAAAAAACTAATTTTGATTATTTTTGTGTGATGATTTATAACCCGTATAATGAAATAACTAAAAACAGGTTTCAGAATATTGTATGTATTACATTTTTAGGCAAATGAGGAAATCTCAAAACAAACGAAGTTCGAAACAAGTTATATGCAAAGGAAAAAGCAACTATTCTTTAGAAAACGGGAAAATGCTCTAAAACTACACAGGATCATGTTAACCTTACCACCGGATCAAAGAAATATAGAAAATTTAAAATTCCGCGAAATTGTTCGCAAAAGAGAACCAATCGAAGTTCATGACTCAGATGAGGAAATACGTAGATTTGACCAACGAAATAAGGTAAATTTTAATAGGATTTGTGGATTACGAAGTATAATTTAGTCATCGGACCAATGAAATAGTTTTTGCACTTCTATATGTTTATCCAATTTTACTTTGAAGGTCAGTAGTACCAACGTATAAACCAACCAAACTAATTTGAAATATGTATTAAAGATTGGGACTTACGTATGTAATATGAATTTTAAATAATTCAGATAAACGCCATCATCAAAGCCTTCCTAAAAATATTACAATTCGATGTGAATTTAAAATTATTATAGTTGTATTAAACAATATATCAACTGTAAAGGAATACCAAAAATGCAGAAAAAAGTTTGACCTCTTGTCAGAATCAAATCTACCTTCTGGTCGCAAGTTTTACTCATAGTCGGAGATATAGGGTGTCCGGTAATGAATTTAAGGGTTTAACACAATAAAACTTACCCCCAGAACATGATATACCAGGTTTATTAGCATTATTAGACAGAGTAAATATGCGGATTTAGTGTTTAAACAGAATATCGTTTAAATGGCGACCGTCTTCTTCGTAGCAAGTTGTTAATCTGGAGCGTAAGCTGCGGAAAACGTTCTGACGTATCGCCACGGGTATGCCACGTATAGCATTGGTGATGCGGTCCTTTAGCTGCTGGATGGTTTGTGGCATCAGTTCCGTGTAGACGACACTTTTCAAGTATCCCCATAGGAAAAAATCCAGGGGCGTTAGGTCTGGTGAGCGTGGACGAAATGGAAATTATCGTGCTAGGAAACACTTTGGTTACTGCATTTATGGATATCGCTGCAGTATGTGCCGTGGCGCCATCTTGTTGAAACCACGTGCCGTTGTTATTATAGCCAGGGAACTGTGGTAGGGATGGGCGTAAAAAATTCCGAACCATGGCAGTATAGCGTGTGCTGTTCACAGTAACAGAACGTCCTGCACCATCTTCAAAAAAGTACGGTCCAATTATGCCCGAGGCGGACATGGCGCACCATACCGTCGTTTTTTTTGGAATGTAACGGTCGTTGATGTTTTTTCCGCGGATTGTTAGTGGCCCAATATCGGCAATTATGTTTGTTCACGGCTCCAGTTAGATGGAAATGTGCTTCATCACTAAAAATAATGTGTTCAAGCCCATCCTCATTCCATGGTCTCGGCGAATGTTTTCCGTTTTACATGGTCATCGGCCTTCAAAAATTGGCATAGTTGGATTTTATACGGGCAAAACTTTAAGTCTAACTGCATTATTTCGTGTACACTAGTGCGTGGTAACTGCAATTGTTGAGCATTTTTACGATCCGACCGCCGAGGATGCTGAGTCACAGCGCGCCGTACTCGGTCGATATTGCGTGGTTTTCGGTTTACCAGTTGCCTTTTTATTCAAAGCAGATGCTGTTGTTCTGAATCGTATAACCCAACTGTGCACTAATATACGTCAAATATCAAAACGTGCACAAAAACGTCGACGCGCCACAACGTACGAATCATTTGATTTAAAAAATGATTCAATCATGAACGCTCGTTGTTCTGTAGGCCACGGTGCCATCGTAACTGAAATCCGCATGGTTACGCTACCTGTCTACAATCCCCCATCCTCCTACTTAGTGCAGGGCCGGTGTCAAAATGGATTCGAAATATTAACTTCATTACCGGACACCCTGTATATATCTGTATCTGTAACGTGTGGAGGGTGGGTTAGGTTAGGACTCCTTACGGGACACTGCGGCCTTAGAAGACACCTAAATCTCTTAGGGATATCTGATGACTCCCTATGCAGAATATGTGAAGAGGAGGACGAAACTCCTATTCACATACTATGCTACTGCCGGAACCTTAAATGGGAACGGGAATGGTACTTCAGGGTACAATATCCGGAACCTGAAGAAATCGCGAAAGCGCCCATCAGACATATTCTTGAATTCATCAAGAAAATCAATCTGATGGGATAGAAACTGTGAGGGGTACAATAAGCCTAGAGCTTCAGTACAAGTGGGCTTTGAACCACGCCCTAATTCAGCAGATGATAATGATAGGTAACCCTGAGTAAATTCGTGGTATGTTCAGGGTGAGTAGTGCTTGTCTGTTATCTGTATAGATGAGCATGTTCCTTCCAGTGATATTGTTTCTGATTATTTCTTTTGCTGCTATGATAATCCCCGTTAGCTCTGTTTGAACTACACTGGCACTATTGCTCACAGCCAATTTTATGTTTAGGTTTAAGAATCTGGAGTATATTCCACATTCTGAGCCTTGTTTTGTTTTAGAACCGTCGGTGTAGATATGAATTGTACTTGCCACTTCCGGCTCTTCTATTTGTTCTATTATAACTTTATATGGCTTATGGAAGATATATCTCGGTGAGGTGGAGTCCACGTTCGCTTGAAGCAGTGGGAGCGTATCGAGCGCCTTCTGCCAAAAGCGATGTCTCGCCTCACCAGATCCTACATCAGGTTCTATTCCAATCGTGCGGAGGCGTGTCATTGTCGTCAGAGCAACCTCCTTGATGTAAATATCAAGGGCAGTGAGACTATGAATGACTTCCATGGCTCTGGTCTGTGTTGTTTTCATGGCTCCGTTTATGTTGAGACATGCTGTTCTTTGAATTTATTCTAGTTTACGGATAGCTGTTCATTTTTGGGTTTTCGGTACCCAGACAACTGCACCGTATGTTAGCATAGGTCTTATGATAGCCGTGTAAGTCCATGCGACGACTCTGGGGGAGAAACCCCAGGTGCGCCCCAAGGTTCAGTGGCATTGTTCATAAGCAATGTATGGCCTTTTAACTCTGTTTTCTAAATGCGAGTTCCATGTTAACTTGCTGTCAAAGGTGAGACCTAGGTACTTCACCTCTTTTGCAAAGAAAGAATATTAATTATATTAATTATATAACATGATTAATTACAACAATAAACAAATTATAAATTAATCATAGGTAAATACTTTTACTTTCATGTAATAAAGAACAAGTAAGCAGACTTCAGGTACTCCAAAACAAATGTATGAGAGTTGTTCTAAAATGTAATATTTACACTCCAATCAAAAATATGCTACAAACCCTAAATTGGCTTTCTATTGAACAGAATATTAAAAAGGCAACCCTCGTTGTAATCTATAAAATGATGCATCAATTAACACCGAAATATCTAAGTGAGTTACTAGTTACGCGGCAACACTTACATTCTCGACATTTAAGATCCGATGAAAATTTCAACATAAATTTTTCAAATAAAACTTTCTTAATGGGATCGTTGCTAATTAATGTAATACATCTTTTTAATAATCTGCCAAAAGAAATAAAAGACTCTAGCAATTTGAATTTGTTTAACAAAAAATTATGTAAATATCTTAGAGAATCAAATTAAACAATTGTGTATATTATGTAAGATAACAAAAAAAATATGTAAATAAAAAAAAATAATTGTATATAATAGCAATGGCTAAATAAACGGATTCATTCATTCATTCATTCATTCATTCAAATAAGTTAGCACCTAGGTGTGGGCACCTGTATGTGCTAGACAGACTAAAAAACTAATACATAAAGATTAAAAAACTAAAATATAAAGTTAATGTATTTTTATATAAATGTTAAATGTAATAAGGCAGCAATGTTATATTATATAATATGTAATAATGTTATAATCTTGTAATCTACAGGGTTCCAGTGAGATGTGTGTTATTCTAAGAAGAATCTATACAATTTTGAGTAGTTTTGGTAGATGAAGGATTTGCACGCTTTCTTAAATAAATGTTGTTTGTTAATTAATTTGATCTCACTTTGGTCCTAAGTAATTTATACAATTTTTGAAAGATTCACTATTAGGCATAGATATTTTAATATTCAAGTTACTAAAAGTTCTGGTTTTGTGTTGATGACCCAGAGGTTTTTTTAGTACCTCATGTTTTTGTATGTAACAGCATATTGTGTTCATGTATAAACTTCTAACATTAGATATTGTTTCATTATATAGTAGAATAGTAGGATATAATCGCTGTTTGTTGAAGATAATTTTCAGTATTTTATTTTGTGTGACATTTAGTGGTCTAAGGGTTGTTTCATATAGGCCTCCCCATACTAGTATACCATAACGTAGAATAGATTCTACCAGGCTAAAATATAGGCTTATTAAGAGATTTTGGTTAAGAAATTGTTTTAAAGGATAAAATTTATAGATTATAAATCTAAGCTTTTTTGTTATATATGCTATATGAGAGTCCCATTTTAAATGTTGGTCTATAATTATACCCAAGTATTTAGTAGTTTCTGTTTCTTGTATTTTAGAGTCCAAATTACTGGTAACTATTTCTTTAAAATGAGGGCGATCAGCTAATGTTTTAGAGAAAGCTATATAGTTCGTTTTTTTGATATTTAAGGATAATTTAAAAACGTCTAACCAGTTTTTTACATGTTCAATTCCTTGTATGGCTTGCATTTTTGTAGAATCCCAATCTTTACTACTGAAGACCAGCACAGTATCGTCTGCATAAGAAATTACTTTACCTTGAATGTCAATCTCAGTCAAGCCTTTGATGTATAAGTTGAATAATATTGGCCCTAAGACAGTACCTTGAGGTATACCAATTTGTACATATTCAGGATTACTAAGACTATCTCTTATTTTAACTTGTTGTTCCCTCTGAGTCAGATAGCTTTCAAAGACTTTCCATGCAGTGCCTCTTATCCCATTCTTTTCAAGTACATCGAGAAGTTTTTGGTGTGGCACTGTGTCAAAAGCCTTTGCTAAATCCAAAAAGGTGGCGATACATTTTTTATTGTTGTTCATTTCTTCAGCTACATGAGATATTAGTGCATGCATAGCATCACTCGAATTAAGACCCTCTGTAAAACCATATTGATGCTGAGGAAGCAGATTGTTAATTGTTAAGTATTCAATGAGTCTCTCTTTCAAACATTTCTCAAATATTTTTGCGATATTACTAATTAAACTGATTGGCCTGTAATTACCTATTAAGTTTGGGTTACCGGTTTTGCAAAGTTTAGTTTTGTGTTTAGGAGTTC